TATATTTCATACAACAAGAGTTCTCAAAAATACATTATTACAATACCAAGTTCAGAGTGCGGAATTTAAACAGCGAAATTACAATAAACATCTAATGATAAGATACAAGGATCCGTCTGTGCCCACCAGAAGAATCCTCCACATAACAGCTACTCCTCAAGTTGCACCTGCAACAGGGGTAAATAAACCATGAATACACAATGTACTCGTAAGACTTACCCGACTAGTGGAAATAATTTCCCGGCTCCAAAGGATATGATAAGCTTTATGGTTTGCTGAGTTTCCTTTTTGCGAAAAGCCTTACTAGTAGTGAATCCTTATGGATGTTCTTATTAGCAGTCATGATTAGTTCATTATCTAGCCATTCTATGTAAGCAACTGTTCTACTTTCAAGCAAGAGTTGAACAATCAGATCTATTTCACCATCTTTCATCTTTCAGTTCTTACTACGGTGCTAGATCGTAGACAATTCGTATCGTATTATATGGCGATTCGTGAACCAATATAGCCTAGCTAGGTATCCCAAAACACACACCCCGCTTGTACCCCAGTCACAAGCAGAACCAACCCACCACTCTCCTGTCAAGGGGGTCAGGTCCCCGTCCAAACTTTGACTCCAAGCCCCCACAACTGAGTCCTGGATTCAGTGTGGTGCTTAGACCTCCATCGTCCCCGCCTCCAATCAGTCGGTCCAAAAAGAGTCGGAACCCACGATAAGAGAGCAACGAGCCTTCCTGCTCCCATAAGCAAGTATGTGCTCAGGATAATAAGTCTGTGACCTGACTAGAATCCAATGCAACGACCGGTTCTTAACCGACACGGATAGGGAAAACAGTGTAACCAAGCTATGCCCCGTTGGCCGTGGTGCACAACCTCTTACACCCACCAATACCCATACCTTATCCCTACCTGGTCTCTATTTTTCCTTTCACCATTTTATTATGAGAGTGATAATAATAATCACCTATTGCGAGTAACGGTAGGTTACTCACGTTACCGATAGCATAAGCATAGCATCTACTCGACCTATACTAGTAGGACTTATAGGTAGGTTTATCTATGCATGTAGTTTCAATATAAATCCCGTAACATAAATAGACATCACATATATATATCCAGTGATAATTCAAAATAAGGGTTATGCACCGGGGCTTGCCTTGGGCAGGCGCGGTGTCAGCTTAGTCAGTCAGTGGCGGCTCCGGGACCTCCTCCTGCATGAGGATCTCCTCCTCATACTCCTCGATCACCTTCTCGAACTCGTGGTCTCCGATGGTCACGATCTCCGCCAACTTGTTCTCTATATGCATGCGATGATGATGCAACACTTAGTATTTTAGCAACAGCAGCTCCTAAATTAAGAATACACATGGTAAACTACTAAGCTAGCTCTAATGACTAAGATACTAAGCTAACTATCATCTTCATCAAGTAAAGTGTTGGGTTCAACTAACAAACACCTAGCTTTACAAATGAAGGTATATCTTTGTTTCTACTAATGATTTAATGTATATTTGAAACAAAGAGCATTTAACTACCCTTATGTTAAGTCTATTCTAAAGCTACAAAAATTATAGTGAGCACATAATAATATCATGAAGCTACTGTAAAACTTACAAAGCTACAGCTATCACCATATTGCCACAAAAATTCCTACAATATTTAACCTTATAATATTAAGCACTCTCAAATGATTTAATAGTTCCAGGTATCAACAAATATATATAAACTAAATACACCAACAAATAGAGCACAATTTTAGGAACTAACAAAATTAGTTTCACAATTTTTGGACACCTACATGATTTTATATGATTTACCAAAGTTCAACTCAGAATTAAAATGAAAAGCTATTTCTATTCACCACGAAAAACATAAACTCAATTCGGCCCAACACGGCCCATGTGGCACAACGCCCGAGCGCGCGAGCGCACGACGACCCACAAGCGAGGCGTGGCCCACGCACAGAGGCGGCCCGCGGTGAGGAAACCCGCGCGCGCCGACACTCTTGCAAAAATGCCCCTAGACTATGAGCAAAACAATCCGCAGTCCACTTAACTACTTCTATAGACAATGACTTTGCAACGGAACCCTCGGATCTTTCTCCTCTTTACAACGGCAAGGTCCTCGGCCATCCCCGCGTGTTCCGACACGGCGAGCGGTGGCACTGGCGCTTACGCTGGCCACACGGGACCCCCGCTGACCTATCTACAAGGCCGACACTCACCTAGGGTTCGACGCGAGATGATGGGCGACGGTTGCACGAGCCGAGACGCCGTAGAAAGACCTCTCCACGACGGCGGAAACCCTACGGCAATGGCGATGGCGTTCAGGCAAGCCACAGCAATAACAAGGTGGTCGATGTAGCGGGTGAGCAACGACCACTCACCAGTGACCTTACCGAGAAGCCGGCTCGGCTGGAGATGACCGGAGCGAGGCTGGCCACATGCACGTTGCGAGGTGAACGGCGGACCGCAAAGGCACTAGAGCTGCGACTAGTGTGCGCACGACGAAGAAAGAACCAAGGCTAGCTAGTGATGTAGAGGAATTGACGTGGGATGAAGTGGTGGAGGCTGGCCATGACGCCGGCGGTGACAGGCCTTAACGGCACGGCAATGGGCAAAGCTCCAAAATTGGAGCTCGGCATGACGCGAATCAAGGTGGGGTGGGGTCGACTGGAGAGGGGGCGTGAAGGCAGAGACGCGAGCATGAGGAATTGATGAGAGGTGCTCGCTCTCTGGCTTCACCGTGACACGACGTGATGGCAGCGAAAAACAGAGGGAGAAAGGGGGAAAGAGAGAGACGACGCGGCAGGTGGGCTCGGCTCGTCCACGCCTTGGCGGGACGCGAGCGGCGAGCACGGGAAGCCCACGCACCGACACTACGAACAACACGTGAGCGCGTCCGACCGATGTGGCCCACACGCTGCAGTGCCATAAATGGCATGGCGACGGTAGCTCGCCCACGTGCGCGCGGCAGAGGCAACACGCACAGGGCTGGCAACAGCGTAGAGGTGCAGCGAATTAGCGCGGATGCGACGATGACGCGATGACAGCGATAGCGTTGCGACATGAGTAGTGACGGCAGTGCGGACATGACGGCAGCACAGCACGGCCGCGGCGGCACCCAAGACGGCAGCGTGAGGTAGAGCAGCAGGGCGTGGGACCAGCGGCTGGCCTCGGCCAAGCCCAGGCGGCTCGACCGGCCCAGCATGGCGGCACGGATGACCATGTGGGACGCGACCATGTACGCGGCATGAGAAGACCGCGCGGTGACCGCGCACCCGACGCCAACCAACCCGAGACACTGACACGCATGAATTTTAAAGCGTTCAACACGACCAAATGATTGCTTCTAAACCTAAACCGTCTTCACCATGCTCAAGATGGTATATGAGACTACCAAATCGAGCTATAACACTACACCACTCCTTAACCCAATCTCTCACAATAAATTGCTAAATATAGCAGTGTCTAGCAGTCGGAAGACTTGAAAATTTCTAAGTTTTTGAGCTGAATTTGATTTTTATTTGCGATTTCTAAGCTAGTGGAAATATTAGCTAGTAATATCATTTTTCGACCGCAAGCATTTCATTGTCATCTACAAAGTTTGTACTTCAAACTTTATTTAAGAATCACATATATGTTCTATAGCATTTTTTCTTAATAAAAATTAGTTTTAAACCATAAGTGATATAACATGACTATCGAATCAACTTTCGCTCCACATTTTAGTTGATCGTTTTGAGTTACAGAAATTGATCTACACACTTTATCACTTGCATTAACACATAAATATGATGCCCATGACATGTTTTAGTAAATGATTTACGGTGTAACACCCTCTTCTTCTTCTCCTTCGTCCCATAGCTCCTCCCCTAGATCCTCTCTCCCTCGCGTTTTTTAGAGCAGTAGATCCTCAAAACAATTTCTATGGTAGTTGAGAACTACATTTTCTAATGCTTTACCTAATTTGTATTTATATAAATATATTGCAGGGACAGATACAAACTGTAGGTTCCAATGCAACTCAGTAAGTTTCCCTCAACTGTGCTGCCTCTTGTTCTAAAGTTGGAGACTCTATTGCAGATGTGTTTTCACCAAGTGAATGGAATTTAGAATTTGGTAATTAGATCTCATGCACAGTTTGTATCAGTACAAATTGAGTACCTGCTTCTTCAAGGCCAGGCCTGCAGTTACTTTACCTTATATGAAATAAAGTGGTGGTTATCTCATAGGAAAATAAATCCTAACCTAAACATGTACGTTTGGATGGGGATAGGGATGGGGATAGGGATGGGAAATATTAAATCTTAGCCATCCGTTCTTCATACCTCATTTAATCCTAGCCATTCATTCATTCATTTCCCTTTCCCTATCCTACCCCCTATATCCCAATATCTAAACAAAAAAATTAAGGTTTCAGTTCTTATATGAAATAATGTAGTGGTTAGATTCATTTTCCAAGCAGCTGTAAATTTGCTGTCCAAATATGTTGGCCATGATTTTTTAACAGCTAATTTTTCCTACAATAAAAAAATGTGTATCCTGCTTTTTTAAGTGCTGATGATAGTTAATAATCCATGATGTCTGTCCATATTAAACAAAATCTAAACCTTCTCTCCTTTCATGCTGATTTCCTACATATACTTCTTACTAGACTTCTCCGGCTATATACCTCTTTGATGAGATGCGGGATCCCAAGGTCCACCCTTGACAAGTGGACGGCCACGGCCACCTATGTTACACAGATATGTCCCTGAAGCCGCGTATCGTGTATCCGATACGTATCGGATACGGATACGTGTCCGATACGCCCAGGATACATATCCTTAGAGTATCCGCTTTTTTATTATTTTCGTGCAAATTGGATACACCATCCGACACGTATCTGGCCTGCCGATACGGCCTAGCCCACTAAGAAGCCTAGGCAGGCAGAACCTTATCCCTCTGCCCCAACGCCCTAGCGTTTGATGTCCGTAGTCTTGCACGGCTGCGTCCGCGATGAGCGCCGCATCCTCGCGCAGTGAAGCCACAACCCTGCTCGCCAGTCGCCGGCCACCGACGATGAGCCTCTGCCTCCGTCTTCGCTCACCGGCGATGAGCCTCCGTCCCTACTCGTCGACCGCCAGTGACGAGCCTCCGCCTCCGCTCGCCGGCGATGAGCCTCCATCCCTACTCACCGGCCGCCAGCGACGAGTTTCTGCCCTGCGAAGTGGATCCCGTGAGTTAATCCCATTCCCTATTCTCGATCTCCTCTTCTTCTTCAGTTCGTAGCCGGTTGTTGCTTGATTTCTTTGCTCCCCACGCCACATCCCCACTTTGTCTTCCCTTTCCTCCCTTCGTCTTCTATTTCTGTAGTGCAGTTAGTGAGTTCTTGTCGCTTGTATGCAGTAGATAGCGTCTCCAAATATGAACAGTACTAGTGCAAGTGCTAGTGGTAGCGTAGGATCTGCAACCACAAACACAACAGACATCAAGGCTCCACTTTGGGATCATGTAACCATTCTGGAGAAGCCTAAAACTGGTGGATGAAATGCTATGTGGCACTACAAGTACTGTCCAATGCAAAAACTGAGTAGTTGCACTAGAGTTGAAGCTCATTTGCTGCAGAAGGGAGGAAGGAGAATAGATAAATGTCCTAATGTTCAGAAGAATTTAATGATCCTGACTCAATCCATGATAGATGGGTTGTTTTCCCTATGACTTGGTGGACAAATCATGGACAATCTGCTCCTTTATTGATGAGTTTGGCCATGAAATTGCTTAGCCAACTAGCCTTATCTTCTTACTGTGAAAGAAACTGGAGCACCTATAGCTTTGTCCATAGTGTCAAGAGAAATTCCTTTAACTCCAGAGCGTGCTGAAGATTTGGTCTTTGTGCACTCAAATCTGAGGCATCTGTCCAGGAGAACTGATGCATACAAGACAGGAGAGACAAGGATGTGGGATGTAGGAGGGGATTCTTTTGATTCACTTGGTGGTATTGGCATTCTTGAAGTGGCTGACCTGTCCCTTGATGAACCTAAATTGCAAGCTGTGTCTTTTGGTTTAGATGATCCGTAGGTTCATGTTGTGGATGACAATGAAACAAATGAGGAATAATAACTTGTTGTGTTGTAATAATAGTACACTTAAGTGGTTAATTACAATGTTTTATTGTTATCAGTTTTAAATAATAGTACTCCTTTGTCCTCTCCTCTCCTATCTACTTCAAAGTTCAGACTCCAGTACGCTAGTAGTAGAAGGTGATGTACTGAACTACTACTGATTACTGAATACTCAAGTTTTAGTAATAAATTGATTGATAGTTGTTTTTTCTGTGCAAATTCTGGACTTGGAGTCTTGGAGAACTCGAGAATGGACAATTGAAGAATGGAGATGCTTCCGGAGTTTCGGTCTTTGCTTTGGCTAGCAATTGCTATTGCAAGGTAATTTACTACTTTCACTCACAATTTTAATATGCGCTATTATCTATTTTTATTTAAAAATAGTAAAACGTATCCGCGTATCGGTTTTTTTTAGGAAATTGCCGTATTCGCGTATCCGTATCCTTCCGATACCGATACGCGTATCCATATCCGTGCTGCATAGACTGCCACCGTTGTTTGACTTCTCAGAAGCGGGTAACTTCTTGATACACTTAACGATGTCGTTGTTTCATTGTACTCTTGTCTCAAAACACATTTGGAATTGGCTCGATCATGATGGCAATAAGTTACAAAGATAATTTATCAGCAACATCAAGTCCACCACTGCACCACAATGTTATTTCCTCTTCTAAAACTGTGAAGGTAGCAATTGGATGCTTTGCTTTGTATTATGCAGTTTTTAAGTGCCGGGAGTTAATAGATGGATTTTCTTCCTCTATTGAACTAAAGGTATGGTTCTACAGGTTATAAGGAAAAAATTTACAGATTACTATTGAACTGAAGGTATTCGCACCATTCCTTTCTTGCATCTCTTGCTTCTTTGTCTTTACCTGATTCTCAAATAAATATCAATACCACAGCTACTTCTTAGTGTCTTAGTGCTTGCAGTTATAGGCTTTTGAAGAAAATTAGGTGTAGCCTGCCATGGTGAACTACTGCCTTGACAACTCTTTTGAAGAATTGTTGCGGGACGACAACCAGCTACGCCCAAAAGGATAAATGGTGAGACTGTACTCAACTCTGGCACTTTCATTGTGTGATTCAATTGTGCCCCTAATGCTCAAACGTGGTGTGGTGAATTTTAATTCTTTTGTAGTTCAATGTGCCATGCTGGAACAAAATTGTGAGATAAGTTCTTGGATTAATTCTAAAACTAGAGACAAATTATAGTGTACAATACCATGCTGAGGCTGCTATTGCATTTCCATGACGCGTGTATATGCCTTCCACTTCCACATAGTGCTTTTGATTTTGCAGGTAACACCCATTAGGGTGCTGTTAGCTTCCATGATAATAGAAAGAATATCTTTTGAACAATGACATATGAGAATATATAGTCATGATTATCACTCTTTTGTATCTTTTTACCCTCATTTGAAATCAGCCATTGGCATATGTTAAGATGACTACTCAGTCTTTTATGATATTTTTATTCCATTTTTATTGAGCTGAGGCATTTGGCATATGGAGTGATATGGACCATTACATATATATGGTCTTTTTTTGGCATTCTTAGTGAACTAAGTCACTTTGGTATATGCAATGATGGCCTACTTCACCCTGCCAACAATCCAATCCTCTTTCATGCACTCAAACCTGCATCACTCAAAAATACTATATGATCTTTAGCTTTGGTTTGCTAATTCATTCGTCATACAAATTTGATTCCTACATAATATTTCACACTTCAGATCTCTTCCAGATTTTAGTGCTCTATTCACGCCGAAACTACTATTTTCCCCTGATGCTTAGTGCAGCTGATGTCTTTTTTTTCAGTACTGTCTGTGATGAAAATGATCTCTCATGTAACTTGGGAATATATACTGATGATCTTCACAGGTTTGAGGCTGCTATGTTGGGAGGTAAGTAGCAATGCTCGTTCTCTATCACTGCCATCCTTCTTATCGGATGTCCTACATCATGATCTATTGACACCTTCCAAATTTCAAATACTTGAATGCTTCTTTATGATCCTAACGAATCCGGGTTATCACTCTAAGACTGCCATACATGTAAATACAGCTTTCGCCCAATGGTTCCAAATATTTTTTAAAAACTTTTGCAGTTGTTGCTTCAGGCAATGTAGTCATCAGATAGTTTCAGGGTATGTCTCCGATGTATACAGACTGGATTAGGATTCTCTTTCATGCACACCTTCAGCCATTTTAATTCTTATGGCAGGCCATTTACTCATCTGATATTTTATATTTAACCTACATTTATGATCTGAATTTAAATATTTTCCATGTATGAACTGAGCTAGAGCACTGTTCTTATGGTAGGCCATTTACATGTATGGACTGACCTAACACAACATAACCGAGCATTTTCTTAATAACCAGATATTTGTCAAGATGTAACTAATGCATAATAATTAATGGAAATATGTTCACTACTCTTTGCAACCCCGATTTCCTCCCTTTTTTATCATAAACTTTGTAATCACTAATGTTTTGCTAACTTATTCTAACTATCTGTGTTGTGAAGAAAAAGGTCAGCCCCTGTGTCTACAGATTCAATATGTTGTCTTCTACATCTTTTCCTGCTATCATAAATGATGAGGACGGTAGGATCGGCCAAGCTGCATGATAAGCTTATACAATGCACTCTTACATTTTTGGGTTCGTATGTTTGCAAATGAACCAATTCTGTCCTACGGGCCTGTAATGGTCCATTTGTTCCACAAACACTCTAGCTAATTCATCATTCCCTTTTATACTGCTAAGACTTGAGCAGCCAATGTACAATAAGCTACTTTCCTTGGCCTTTTACCACTAATGTAACATCCCCGCCTAAATGGGCCGACTTTCAGTTGGGCCGAGGCACTGTAACTGCGCGCGTAGGCTCTGGTCTGTGGCTGTAGCTGCGGACATTGTAGCAACGAGGTGGGACGGGCCAAAATCGGGCTACTGTGGCAACACAGCACTGTTTCTCTGGCACTGTTCACGTGAATGCTGTAGCATCGTGAAACACTGTGCAACCGGACTTTAGTCCCAAACTGTGAATCACCGTGAATCATAGGACGGCCAGACCGACTTAAATAGTCAGGTCAAGGATGCGTAGTAACCCTCGGTTAACCGTTTTGCGCGAAGCGGGGACGAAAGTGCAAGCGGGTTGCTACGTAGGTGGGGCCCACCCCTCGGTAGAGTGGGCTTGTGCCGTGTGCTGGGCCTGGGGTGTTACAAATGGTATTCAGAGCCAACTCTCGCGGTTTCACGGACATATGACTCGGGAGCTTGGACAGGTTACGAATGGCTCTGCAAGAGCATGGCACTTGGGCCGGGGAGCTGTGAATATGGACGTGGGTCAAGAGAGTCGATCCTGAGCATTTGTCCCGAATAAGGGTAAGCAAGTCTAGCATTCGACGAGGACGTCGAATCCTAAGGGGGGTGATTGTAACATCCCCGCCTAAATGGGTCGAATTCCGGTTGCGCCGAGGCACTATAACTGCACGCATGGACTGTGGTCCAACTGTAGCTGCGGGCACTGTAGTGGCGAGGTGACCCAGGGCAAAATCGGGTTACTGTGGCGGCACAGCACTGCCGCTCAGTCACTGGTCACGCGAGTACTGTAGCATCATGAAACACTGTGCCCCCAGACTTTAGTCCCAAACTGTGAATCCTAGGACGGGCAGACCGACTTAAATAGCCAGGCCAAGGACACGTAGTAACCCTCGGTTAACCGTTTTGCGTGAAGCGAGGACAAAAGCGCAAGCGGGTTGCTACGTAGGTGGGGCCCACCCCTCGGTAGAGTGGGCTTGTGCCGTGTGCCGGGCCTGGGGTGTTACAAATGGTATTCAGAGCCAACTCTCGTGGTTTCACGGACATATGGCTCGGGAGCTTGGACATGTTGCGCATGGCTCTGCAAGAGCATGGCACTTGGACGGGGGAGCTGGGAATATGGACGTGGACCAAGAGAGTTGATCCTGAGCATTTGTCTCGAATAAGGGTAAGCCAGTCTGGGGGTGATTGTAACATCTCTGCCTAAATGGGCCGAATTCTGGTTGGGCCGAGGCATTGTAACTGCACGCATGGGCTGTGGTCCGAGACTGTAGCTACGAACACTGTAGCATAATGAAACACTGTGCAACCAGACTTTAGTTCCAAATTGTGAATCCTAGGGCGGCCAGACCGACTTAAATAGCCAGGCCAAGGACGTGTAATAACCCTCGGTTAACCGTTTTGCGCGAAGCGAGGACGAAAGCGCAAGCGGGTTGCTACGTAGGTGGGGCCCACCCCTCAGTAGAGTGGGCTTGTGCCGGGCCTAGGGTATTACAAATGGTATTCAGAGCCAACTCTCGCGGTTTCACGAACATATGGCTCGGGAGGTTGGACAGGTTGCACATGGCTCTGCAAGAGAGCATGACACTTGGGCCGGGAGCTGTGGGAATATGGACGTGGGCCAAGAGAGTCGATCATGAGTATTTGTGCCAAATAAGGGTAAGCCAGTCTAGCATCTAAGGGGGGTGATTGTAACATCCCCGCCTAAATGGGTCGAGGCACTGTAACTGCGCGTGTGGGCTGTGGTCCGAGGCTGTAGCTGTGGCACTGTAGTGGACAGGCCAAAATCAGGTTACTGTGGCGGCGCAGAACAGCTGTTCAGCACTGTTCACGCGAGCTACTGTGCATCAAGAAACACTGTGCAGCTAGGCTTTAGTCCCAAACTGTGAATCCTAGGACGGCCAGACCGACTTAAATAGCCAGCTCAAAGACGCGTAGTAATCCTCGGTTAACCGTTTTGCGCGAAGCGAGAACGAAAACGCAAACGAGTTGCTACGTAGGTGGGGCCCACCCCTCGGTAGAGTAGGCTTGTGCCATGTGCCGGGCTTGGGGTGTTACAACTAAGCGGTTGTTATAGACATATTTACTTCTTGCAACCATATATATCCATCGATTACTCCACGATTTAAAAAGG